AGAGGTGCAGCAACTTTGGTGGCTCCGGAGATGGCACATGCGGAGGACGAGCTGACCTGTTGTGGGGTAAGGGTTTAGGGTTTAGGGTTTAGGGTTTATTTGGGGGGGGGGGGGGGGGGGGGGGGGAGAGGGGGGAGGGGAGGGGGAGGTTGGGGGTAATTATAGGTTTGGGGCTTAGGGTTTAGGATCTAGTGTGGGGAGGGGGGGGGGGCTCAGGGTGGGGAGGTGGGGTGGGGGGAGGTTAGGTGTTTGCAGGCTTGATTTAGGATTTAGAGTTTGGGGTCGAGTGCAAAAAAGGCTCCATATTGCCAAGGCCTCGAAGTGCAGTTCCATTTTGGGGGCACCGAACTAACCTCAATACTACATCCTATCCGCAAAATGTCGTACCGAAAACTCATAAAACTGCAGGCCGAAAAACTCCTAGAAAATGGGCCATTGAATGGCATACAATGTGGTGCCAAAAAAAAGGAATTACTCATAATTACTCTTAGAGGTCGAGGTAGGGCCTCGTATCCGTTCCTTTCGTGTTGGAGAGAACATCGATCCTCAGACGTGGGCCCTCACCCGCACTCACCCGAAACAAGCCCTCCATGTATGACATGGTCTTATTGTGGTTGGCTACGTCCTACAGCAACTAAGTACCCACGTTATCCTCTGAATAGAAACTACCCGAGATACCTACATTCAAAATATATAGGCCCGACTGCGCACCAGAAGCGCTGAACCCTGGGTTTGGCAGCTCCAGCGTAGCTTCAACTCAAACGCGAAAAGGCAGCTCGTGGGATGGACTGCCAGGGACATGAAGCGGGATCCGCTATAGTGTTTTGCTGCTGCGGAGTGGGCATTGCGCGCATATGCACGCTGTGTGTGTCGTGACGGCTGCTCCTTGCGTTGCGTCAGTTCTCGCTGAAGTTTAGTTGGAGGGTTGTTGTCTGAAGGGCTGTCAGCCCGTGCATTGACAGCTGGGGCTCCAGTTCAGTTTTTTTCGTGTTTCCTCTTGCCGTTGCTTGCCGCTCCGAGACAAGGTGGCGAGGGTTGTGCGTAGGGATTCTCACGTCTTTCGGTTCAGTGTCAAAACGACAGGATCCCGAGCACCAGTTCCATTCGCAATCTGACAAACCATGTAACGCAGGTCATCGTGGTCAAGGGCCTTGATCCATGGAAGCCCCAACTCCTAAACTCTCAAACCCTGGCCCCTTCAACGTCTTAAATCCATGGACCCTGACCACGGCAACTTCTAAATCCACCTAAAACCCCTCTCTTTTGGAGAGGGGTTTTAACTTCCAAGCCAATTCAAAAAACCCTAAACCCCAAAACCCCTCTCCTCCTGGAGCTTGACTTGAGCTGTTGAGGATGGCGCCGTGTGGATTCCGGCGCTCTCCGCAATCGGGGCCGGCTTTGCTATCGGCCTTGCGGCCATCGGCTCCGGTGTGGGCCAGGCCCATGTTTCTAGGGTTCTTGGTTCAGGATTTGGGGTTAGGGTTCAGGGTTTGAAGGGCGTGCTTTGAAGGGCAGGTTTGGAGAGTTCCAAGGGAGCTCTCGAAAAGTTGAGTTTGTTTGTAAGGGTTCGAAAGTTTGAGAGCTTTGGGCTTTGCGAGAGCTTCAAGCCTTCAAGGTTCATCCGTACCTTCAAAAAATAGAAAGGAACCAATCGAGCTCGAACGCCTCCTCTCAAACTCAATCTCCGAACTTTCGCGCATCCGAGTTCGAAAAGACCTTGGGTTCGCGTAGTTGCGAGGTTGCGAGTTCGAGAGTTCGAAGCCTTTCGAACTTGCGAGTTTGATAGCGGCCGTATTCGAGAGGATTCAAGATTGAAAGCTTGAACGTTCGAGTTTGGAGCCCGAACCCCTGAGAGAGTTACGCGGTGGCCGGCGCAGCGCGTTTGAAAGCTTGAGGGCTCTAGAGATTGGAGTTCGAAACTCGTTTGAGTTTGAAAGTCTGAAAGTTTGACGGGTTCAAAGCTTGAGAGATCAACAGTTTGACGCCTGCTTGAGCTCGCGAGCTTGAGTTCTTGACGCAAAACGAGTTTGAAACTTTAACTCCGCGAGTTTTGTGAGTTTCCTAGTTTCAAGGTTCGGAGTCGCGCGCAAGGAAGATATTCCCTCGCCAGCCTTGCCTTTGCCATCCTTTGCCCAATGTCGCCTTCTTTAAAGTCCCCCAGAGGCCTGCTGGAAGGCTGTAACCCACTATAAACCCCTAGAAGGGTTTTTTGTAGGGTTATATAGAGGGTTATAGGTTGTATGGGGCTTTTATAGAGGGTTGTTATAGGGTTTACAGAGGGTTTATAGGTTTTGTAGGGTTTTAGGCTTACATTTTGGGTATTTTGGGCGCACACGGGCTTGGATTCACCACAACCTGAAAGCTGCGGCAAGCGCCACTAGAATCTGGCATCCAATCGGTCATATATGCATCGTCTGTCCACCCTGCCGGTTGAAACCTTCAGACCCCAAACTCCTACAAGCCATTAAGCTCCAAACTGTCCAACTCGAAGTGTTTTTGATTGTCTCAACTCATTCAAAGAAACGAAGTTGACATGACCCCCCTGCGCGACACCTATCTCGGGGTGTCGGGGCCTAGGGGTTCGGAGTTTGGAGTGCTTCGGTGCTCGCCTTTTTTTAATCTGTTGAGGGGCATTTTTCAAAGGTTCGCCTTCCAGGCCCAGGGCTGTTCAGGGTTTTTCTTGAGTAGATGCAGGTCAGTAGGAGCGCAGTGGGAGCGGAGGTGCAGATAACCAACTTGGCTCAGACATGGGGGGGGGGTTCATTGGAACGGGCAGTTGAATACAGGGCCCAGCTTGAATCTTCATTTCTAACCCTAAGCCCTAAACCCTAAGCCCTAACCCCCAAGCTTTAAACCCTAAACCCTAGAGGTAGAACCACACGGAGTCCAACACAGAACCTCTGTGGTTCTAGGGCCCCCAGAAACCACAAGCCTGCTGTATATCATACCGAGGGCTGACCCTGACTTCCCCCTAGGAAAATCCCGAAACCCTAAACCCTAAACCCCAACCCCGAAACCCCAGACCCTAAACCCCAAACCCTCAGCCTTCAGGGCATTGCCAGCGGGCGCTGCATTGATGGCATTTCGCGCCAGCCCGAGGTCCGAACTCATACTTTCCGAACCCCAAAAATCCGGGGCTCAGGGTTTAGGATTTCGGGTTTAGGATTTCGGGTTTAGGGTGTGGGGTTTAGGGTTAAGAATACGTTCCTGAGGCGGGGGCTCTGCTTGCAAAACTGCTGCGAAGAGGTGCTCCTATAGAACTGAAAGTGTCCACTTGTTGGGGGCTAAGCCCTCTCGGCCCTCAGAAACCCTAAACCCTAAACCCTAAACCCTAAACCCTAAACAGGTTGCAGACGACCTCCGCGGTGTGCTGAGCCTTGGATGCAGTTTTCAATGCTACAGGCTTACCATTCGGGGCACACAAAAACTACATCAACACAAGGAGGGCTTAGAGGCCAAAGCTTAGGGTTTAGGGTTTAGGGTTTAGGGTTTAGGTTTTAGGGTTTAGGGTTTAGGGTTTAGGGTCGAGGGCCAGTTTAGGGTTTAGGGTTTAGGGTTTAGGGTTCTACAAACAGGGTTTTCCAAAACCCCCCGTTCATAGGGGCCCGAAAACCCCAATACTAGGATCCCTATGTTTATGTGGGTTTTTTTGGGGGGCCTCTTTTCATGGAGATGGAGAATCCGCGTCCGTTGAGGGGGTCCTTTTTGGAACCCCCATATGCCTCCATCTCGATAGGGTTTAGGGTTTATAGGGTTTAGGGTATAGGGGTTGCAGGGCAGTGGGAGTTGCAGTACCTCAGCACATGTCCAATGCCCTGCAGGCCACTATGACAGCCTTGTAGAACAGCTGTCCCGGTAGTAGGAGCCACAGACGAAGAGGATTTCTTCTGGCTGCCCATACCCTGAACCTTACCAATATCTCGGCAACTCAGTGGTGCCGTGGTGCCCTTTTGCCCTTTCTTGATTCTAGGCCCCCTTATTAAGTACCCAACCCCAAAACGGGGTACTCTAAACCCCAAGCCCTAAACCCTAACCCAAGCCCTGACCCTGCCACGCTTGCAGGCTGCTGTCTCTGGCATTCATGGAGTCCCTGACCATCTACGGTCTTGTCATTGCTCTGGTGCGAGCTTCAGTCTTTGCGTTCGTTTACGGGTGTTCTTGGAGAGTTTTGTTTTATCAGTATTTTTGTTCAGGGGCTTTAGTTTACTGCTCTCTTCTTGTTTTGAGGGGGGAGGGGAGGTTTAAGGGGTGTTGGCTTATTGGTCATTGTTCGGGGGCGGTGGAGGTTTTGGTTGCTGTAGGGGGGGTCTAGGGCTGGAAACTCCCTGGAATGAGGACAGGCTCGGACGGTCTTGATCCCAAGTGTTTGAGATCGCGCACACAGGTGCTCAATGCCCTTTTGGGGGCCCTAAACCCTAAACCCCAACCGATCTTCTGAGGTGCTCCTCTTCGCCAACCCATTGATCAAGTGAGCAAGATGTCGGCGCTTCGAGGGAGGTTCTCCAACATGCACAGCATGAGGTATGAAGTACTGGCTGATGTTGCCGGGTTCCTTCAGTTTCGTGCCACAGAGGCTCGTCCAGTCGCTGGACAGAATGGCCTGGAGGAAAAGAATGCGCGTGCCCAGGGAAGCTGTTCCATCAGATGCTGTCAGTGCTTCAGGTGATGTCGCATGCGCTGCACTTCCCAGACCTACTCAAGTCGGAAGGCTCAAGTATGCTGGGCAAGCTACTTCCAGGCAGTTGCCTTTAGATCCATTGAAGCTACATGGGATGCGTGCTGTGCGAACGCCTCTGATCGTTCCTGCCCGCTGGCCTGCATGGCTTTCGTTGCTTTCATGCCTGCTTTTGGCTGCCAGTCAAGATGATGCGACATTTCGAGACACATTTGCGGACGAAGCCACTAAGCTCCGGGCAGATCTCCTCCGCCACTACGACGCCGTCGTACCGCCACGCAGCAATCGCGAGGTGAACTACAGCAAAGCAGGGACCGATGTTGCC